ATGGAATGCCTTTGGCCTCAGTCGTGAATGAGGGAATATTAGGCACAGGAATCAGTATCAAAGAAGAGCTCAGCGAAGATATTTCCAAGGATATTTGTTTAGAAATTAAAGAAGAACAGCTCGATTACGCAGATCATGAGAGAGACGAAGTGAGCGACGTGAAAGTGAAACATGAGTGTCTTTTCTTTCATAATCTTCATGACCAAAGGCATGAAGCAGATGCAAAGGACTCGTGTGACTTGGTTCAGGATCATAGTGACGTGTTAACAGTGCCATTAGTGGCTGAGGATTGTTGGAACAACAGTTCACCAGAAGGGGATCAGGCGATACATAAGAAAAGTCTTAGGGATACAGAACCAGAAGTGGAACCGACGCTGAAACGTCTTGTATGCGAGGCGTGCGGCAAGAAATTCTCTAAAAGGAGATATCTCAATATTCACATGAGAGTCCACACAAAGGAGAAGCCCTACATATGTGATATTTGCGACAAGGGCTTCCCATCCAAAAACAATCTAGTAAAGCATATCAGAGTACATACAAAGGAAAAGCCATACAGCTGTGAAATCTGCAACAAGGCCTTCTCGGAGAAAGGTCCTCTAGTAACGCACATGAGAATACACACAAAGGAGAAACCGTTCAGCTGTGAGATTTGCAACAAGGCCTTCTCACATAAAAATAGTCTTGTTAGGCACACGAGAGTACATACAAAGGAGAAACTATACACTTGTGAGATTTGCAACAAGAACTTCTCACATAGAGATAGCCTAATTAGGCATATGAGTGTGCACGCAAAGGAGAAGCCATTCAACTGCGATATTTGCCTTAAGGCCTTCCCTTCCAAAAGCGTTCTAGCAAGGCATATCAAAGTACATACAAGGGAGAAGCCATATAGCTGTGAGACCTGCAGCAAGGTCTTCCCAGAAAAAGGTCACCTGGCAACACATATGAGAGTACATACAAAAGAGAAGCCATACAGCTGTGAGGTTTGCAACAAAGCCTTTTCGCATAAAATCAATCTAGTTATCCATGTGAGAGTACATACAAAGGAGAAGCCATACAGCTGCGAGGTTTGCAGCAAGGCCTTCTCACATAAATCTAATCTAGTTATCCACATGAGAGTACACACAAAAGAGAAGCCGTAAGGCTATGAAGCTTTTTATGAAACTGTTACCTAATGCAAAATCCTTATACAAAACTGTTACCTAATGCAAAATCTTTTCACGAAACTGTCACCAGGTGCCAAGTACGAGAGAACGCCCAAAAGAGGGGCCAAACAGAGGTGAGATTTGCAACGGGAAAAATAGAAAGCTAATCGGTTGAGCCAGTTGAGGGTACATGCAAAGGAGAATCCCTACCGATATACAGTAGTACAAATAAAGGAAAAGCCTCATCTCTGCGAGGTTTGAAACAAAGGCCTTGTCACAGAAGGTGAGAAGAGATAAGGTTGAGAATTTGTTTTCTCAGAGGAAATGTGGGTCATACTGGTACACACAAACCAGAACCATACAGATATTCACTTGACCTTATATCTCTGAGGTCTAGAGACATGCTTTCACTCAGAGAAGACAGCTCGTGGGCAACGCGAACTGCATCGAAGAGCATATCTTATCTAAGAGGAGCACTCTTTCCCTTAACATTTTTGGGGAAGAATTGCCCGAAATTTTGGTGGATATCATTTTCCGATTTATGCACGTGATGTGTAATTCTTGCCCGGCATAATGAACTTTCAAGTGTATTTAAGTGTCCATGGATTTTTTTTGTTCAAGTAAACTCATGTCTGCTGTTGCTAATTATATAAATATGTATGTGTTTGGTTGAGTGTATATGAATATATATGTATATGTATGTCTATGTGTGTGTGTATGAATATATATTAAATAAAGTAGTTTTATAATTGAATTCCCTCACATAAGTAAATGAATGTTTGAGTTTTTTTTTTCAAGTTTTGTAATAATTATTATTGATAAATATTATGATCTGAAAATACAAAGGTATTATATAGTACAATAACGAGATAGAATTGCCAGATGTAAATAATGCTGAGCCAGCGGTCTCGAACTGGAACTTGGAGGTGAGACGCACGGTCTTGCGGCATTTTGGATTATGGTTCAGCTGCTACTCTAATGTGGATCATATACAAAGTACTAATATGATTATTTGATGATTAATACAATGATTGGTATACATTGATACGTTATACTTAAGCATTTGTGGGTCTTAAATGTTTCCGATCGTTTTTCTGATGACCAGATTTTTCAATCAACATTCTTAATGATTTACATCAAAATATTACATTAATAAATCATATTGATTTAATTTTTCCGATTTATTAGAGGGAAGTCCCCTTCAGTACTAACTTGTGTGTCATTTAGGCACATTTTCTTTTTGTTAAGTGCAAGGAATAATTTCACCGATCTGTGTGTTAACATTTCTATGTTGCTCTTTGGTCTTTGCCAGAGGGCATGGAGTATTTCCTTTTAAAAATACATTTGTAGACCTG